CCCCCCCCACCTTCCCCAATAAGAGTACTTTCCCTAAAGAAATATTTCATACCTGAAACAACAACAGTCACAAACTTTGATCCAAATTTTCCTGAAGATGCAAACCGGCAAGGAGAAGCATACTGGTTCTGAAAATGACCAGCCATGATACACTCTTCTGCCATCAGGAAGTGTGTATCAATGCCGCGCAGCTGTTTTACTGTTCCTTTCTTGACATCATCAGGAACAAGGTCAGTAAAGATCCAACCTACAAACTGTAGGCCAAGATCTGCTGCTACTTTTTGTACTGTGTCATTGTTGGGGTCTGCCAGAAGTTCCACACTGTCTGGGGTACATTCCTGAAAAATAATCCATTATTATTGCACTGTCATATCATGGAGTGTAGTACATCCAAGATTGAAAAGGGCATGCACATGATTGAAGGCCTTATGAGGTGGGAAATCCCAAGTACTGACATTGAATATTTTTATTTAAGTAGAAGTAAAAAAATCACTCTCTCATAATAGGAATTGAATGAAATGGCATCTTACCTGAGGAGGTTCATAGATAGCTGCAACTACAGCTCTTATACCAAGGGGCACTTCTTTATGATGCTCATATCGACCAATCAGGATTCCTATACGCTAAAAGTGAATAAGAAGACATGATTCAGAGTGTTTTACTGATGATTATAACAATGATTATGGCAATGCGAGGCTGCAAATAAGTGCCAGTCATTGGACTAATGTCTGGTCTGGCAAAAATGACCACTTGAGGTCCTGAGTAAAGATTGCTCAGCCTTACAATGATAGTCGTAATAATAAATACAAGAAAATAAAAACATAGAGGTTATCAGTTGGCTAAGCATCTGATATGGCTGTGTATCTTTACGAGTCACTGAGTATTTTGAAGAGCCTTTAGGTGAGCCAAAATACAAGTGACAAGTAAAAATGCAAAGCCGTATCAGATGCTTAGCCTACTGATAAGTTGTTTATTATTTAATTCTGTGAATAAATGCTCAAACTCTCTCTAAACTCTATTGTAACCAATGCGAGCAGATGAGGAGTGCTGATACGGGGTCACATCAGGGCTGTTCTTTTCCCGTATCACACATTTTCACGCATGAAAATATCATCAATGAGAAACACAAGTAATTGGTTGGGAAGATCATGGTCAATGATGGTGACAACCTTTTAATTTTTTTAATCATTTTTGATTCATTTTCTTGATGCGATGGTGTTGATTAATATTGAATGGTGAAAATAATAAAGGTTATGACGATGATAGTGATGATGATGAATGTAATGAATTGCACAAGTAATTGGTTGTGATGACCATGGTGAATGATGGTGACACCCTTGATGATACTGAATGATGATGATGAACATAGTGATGATAATGGTGATGATGATGAATGTAGTGAATTACACAAGTAACTGGTTGTGTTGACCATGGTCAATGATGGTGACAACCTTGATGATATTGAATGGTGATGATGAAGAAGATTGTGATGTTAACAGCGATTAAGATGATGAAAACAATGACAGTGCTAACGATGGAAACATAATCTACAATGTATACCTGGTTTCCTGTTTTTCTCCAGTAATCTAGAAAAGGTTCTACAATTAGAGGATTCTCAAACAATATGTTGTCCACATGTCTATATTCCTATGGAAAAAATGTAAAATAACCCCTTTACAGTAAATAAATACTATACTACCAAAGCTAACTTCATTATTGCTATACACATGGTGCAACATTGCACGAAACAAATTTGGAGTAACACACATTGCAACAAAATCATGCAATATTGCTTGTGTCAGCAAGCTATGCTAAGAAATTTGGTCAGCGGTTATAAATTTGTTGTAAGTAGATTGGTTTGAATTTTTAAATTGTTGCACTGTTGCAATGCAACGTTGCATGCAACATGTTTCAGGGGTAGACACATATTGCAACAGTCCTGTTGTGTGCAATGTTGCATGCACTGTGCGTCTTAAGCTTTAACTACCTGTCTTTTCAAAGTGATAGCACTTGGCTGACATTTTGTACAAATTCCACCTGGCCATGGAGGATGTTCAGTACATCCTGGTTTGATCTTACAACTGATGTCTTCAACTACTGCAAACTTGCCCCTAGAGGATTTAACAATTTTGTCAGAAAAGTGACGGGATGGTGAAATAGACCTCAGTACTTGGGATAATTCCCTAGAGTACCATTACTTTGTTTAATGGTTGCACATGAGAAGACATACATATAAATATGGATACAACTCAAACAAAGAATCTTACTCTCAAGACCATGTGTCATTCCCTTGAGTACCATTACTTTGTTTAATGATTGCACATGAGAAGACATATAAATATAGATACAACTAAAACAAAGAATCTTATTCTCGAGAGAGTGACACATGGTCTGCAATTGGCAAATAATGACACACCCAAGCAAGCCAAAAGTGGTCTATTTGCTTTGGTTGATTGTCATGATCATTGTTCTAATTAATTACATACTTGTCGGTGCCATG